TTGAAGTCCACACATCTTCAAGCTGCTAAGGTTGAGAAACACTGCCATAGATATAGCAATGGAAGCAGTTTAATAGGAAAGGAGAGAAACAGATTCAGTTGACTTGCTTTAAGCCTGGTAAGTACAAACAGTAAAATGAAATGACAGATTTCCAAAAGAAGAACCCCAGTCATTTACAGGAAAGGAGAGATATAAAATAAAATATAAACATTATCTGTTTTGTCGAATGGGTTTCATTTGTTCCTAAATGAGTAATAGACTGGATCAGTCTAAATGAACTGTGCCTAGATCTCTCACTAGAGAGCATTTGGGAAAGGCCACATATCCTCCACGTTTTTGAATAGGTTTTTGTGATGTTAAGGAGTAGGAACATCCTGAAACAAGAAGGAAATCTGGGATGCTAAGCATGAGGATGCGATGTCCAGTTTTCTGATTCTCCAACAGAAAATATATTAGGGCCAGGGCCAATCTCAGACCGAGTGGTGCTCCAGAAGATAAGCATCCATCTGTTCAACTTCTGAATTGCACTTTGAGCATATATTGGGAGAGATGCAAATTTGTCATAACTTTGTCTTGATGTATTGCTTTCACACAGGATGATAAATTTGCATCTCTCTCCAAAAACACATACACGGACACGCGCAGACACACAGATGCTTATTGTTTCTGTTTCTGCATTCCCCCCCTTCCCATGATGGGTATCCCCTTTGATCCCCCTCCCGGGTTCCCCACCCTGAAGCTTGCCCTGTGTATTTCCACATTTCTGTTTTTCTATTTAACTTGAAAGGAGACAGGCACTCACCTTGTCGTGTGGCTCAATAGCGTAGGCCCGATAATTAGCAGACGATTTTCGGCGCAGGGGAGGGACAGTGGCAGGAGGGGGAGGGGGAGGGGTCGGTTTGGGGGGCACCGGCTCCTTTTTGGTCTCCACAATGGTCTCCTCTGCTTCCTCCTCTACATATTCCTCCTCTTCCTCTTCCTCATACTACAGATTTAAATAATGTATTATTTCCAAGATGCTCCCTGCAACCCCATTTTAGAAACATATAAAGGCCAGCTGCATTTTCAGCTCCCACGCCCAAATTCCAGATGTTTAGAGAGGGGAGTATGTGAGTGAGGAAAATGGTATAAACCTGCCCCTGTTCCTTTAAGTACTTTGCATTTTAATTGCTGGTAGACTTTCCCTGTCCTGTTTTCCTGACCTATCCCTTACTTAGAAATACCATGTGGAAAAGAATAAAAACTTAATGTTGTAAAGACAGAAATTCCAGTAATGATCATGGTTTTCAGTCAAATGCAGAACTTTATTTTCAGAGATCTCAACCTCTGTCTGGACTGTAGTCTTGTCACTAGAGGGTGCTTGAGTGAGTGGAGTTTGAATGTTGTATTCTTTGTGGAAGATGACAATAGTACTGTGACATTTTTCTCGGGTTTCCAGATGCGTGATTCCTTGTCTGAGCGATCATGCAGAATGGCTTCCACGTTTTTTGCTCTATTTCCTCAGGATGGAGCATACCAATGGAAAAAAGGGTGCTCCTGAATACAGAGTGAATTTCCCTTGCTTTCATGTCCCCATAGACCTATCTCGATGCACATCAGAACAGCCTTGCCCATCTGATGCTTTCTATCTCAGTTTGTCTACAGCAGTGTTTCTCAATCTCAGTGGACTTCAACTCCCAGAATTCCCCATGCTGGCTAGGGAATTCTGGGCGTTGAAGTCCATAGGTCTTAAAGTCACGGAGACCGAGAAACACTGGTCTATAGCTGTTAATGGCCATGCCAGCTAGAAAGGATGGGAACTGAAGCTCAACATATCCAGGGTCGTCCATGGACAAGCCAAAAAATCAAGATGGCAGCTGTCTCTTTTTACATGTGTTGTATGTAAAGGGCAGGGATTTGATTGCATAGACACACCTGCCATTTTGATGTTTTTGACCTATCCTGTGGACACCCCGAATAGATACCATTCAGGAAAAAGGAATTTTCAAGAGTGCTTGAACAGAGATAATGTCTTTTAAGAAATGAAATGTTGTGATCCATGAATAAATATGCTAACAATAAAGATTGTATAGATTGCCATGTCTGAAGATGGTATATTAACTTAATTTTTTTTTTTTCATGAAGGGACTGGCACTATTTATATATTTTAACCTGAAGTGATGCCAGTGACCTTTCGCGAAGCTTATCTTAAACCATTTTCTAAGGAGCTAAGACCTCGTTTGACCTAGCAAAGAAGCTCTTGCGAAGTTTATCTTAAGTGACAAGTGCCAAGTGCATCTTGGCAAGATTCAAAACCCTGATGGAGGGCACATTACTTTTCAGAAACCATGTGAGGGTGGAGCCGTAGGTATTTACTTGCCTGCAATGACAGAACAATCACAGTACCGTAGTAATATTTCACTGGAGAATTTACCTGCTATTCAACTCATGTGAGGCGAACACATTGAAAATTTCTCCCAATTTATTAAAGGCTCTTGAAAGAAGAAGGAGGGATCCCTGTATAAAATGAAGGGCCAGCGTTTCTTTCCCATATATTCTGAGGATGTTGCTTCATTTGTACTTACGGTGATCTCTTCCCTGTGAAAAACAGGAGGATGCAAATCAGACTGAATAATTCTTTGCTTTGCACGGTTGTTCCCCCACTCCACCCCCTTTGCAGGTCCCTAAGCTGATTTCTGAAGAGCTTTGCCCTTGCTGACACCATTTTAGTAGGATTATTCTTGATCTAAGGAGTCTTGTCTGCCAGCTCAAAGGACATCTCTCCCCTCCTGGGGACCCTGGATCCATTTTCCACACGCTTGCTCCCTAAACTCTGCCTGGATGCAACCCCCCCCCCCCCCCCCATATAATGTAGGGCATATGCTACGACTCCCACTAACATGCTTTTTAAAAGACAAAACTACTCACTCTTCTGCCATGTTGAGAAATCAAAC